ATCATATAAAAATACCCACAATGAGTGAAACTGATGTTAGAAAGTACAAATAAAATAAGACCATTTCTTGGGGCTGGAGTGATAGCATAGTGGGTAGGGTGTTTGCCTTGCATGCACCTGACCCGGGTTCGATTCCCAGCATCCCATATGGTCCCCTGAGCACCGCCAGGAGTAATTCCTGAGTGCAGAGCCAGGAGTAACCCTTGTGCATTGCTGGGTGTGACCCAAAAAGAAAAAAAAAAGACCATTTCTGAATTTTCTTTGAAAATTCGAAGATTGAATGCCAGGGATACAGCTTTGTTTGCGTGTGTGGGGCCCTGAGTTTAGTCCCGGACACCACCAAAAACCAAGTAAATAAGGTCAACAGAGTTTTAAAATTATGTTCTCCTTAGCCCTATATACATACAAATCTTTTTACTGTAGTACGAGGAGAAATGAGGGTTCCTGAAGAGGCTCTAAAGGTAAAACCATTTTACTTTTGTTTTGTAAACCCATTATTTACTAAAGTTAATTTCACTCCAGGATGTCTCACCTCAATATTTAAATGTTTCATAGCATGAGAAGTTTACCATTCAGCTTCAGTTGTCCCAAAAATCTTCAGAATCAGAGTTACCAAAATCTGCATGTGTCAAAAACGTAGACTCCAAAGTATCAGATGCTGCTTCAGAAGCACAGCCCAAAGCTAAAGAAGCACAGAAATATGAGGAAAAGGCTATGGGTAAGATATTCTCTAAAATTACTTTATTGATAATTAACTAAGAAGAGATTGCATGGTTTATTCTCAAAGTCATGGTCATTAACCATAAAAATGTTATCTGTTGCTATATATAGTAATGATGGTCTCCGAGTTGATTTGAATTAGCAATCTTAAGCAATATGTAACACATGATTATATATGACTTTTATTCCAAGGATTTTAAAAATGCCTCATTTAAATAATCTCAATAATAAAAGCAATTTTTAATTTATAGACCAAATATGCTCAAATGTCCTCTAATCCTTTTAACAATTTTTAAATTTCATTACTGAGATCTATCTTAACAGTTTAAAAGAATTCAAAAAATCACTCACTCATGCTAAAATTTGTGTTAGTTGTTTTATATTTATACTTAATATATACTTAATGAATTAAAATGCTTACATATCAAATAATTGATTATACTTTAATAAAAATGTTATGATATAACAGTTTACATTGCTTTACTCTTAGCTAGTCAGTAGTTCGACATTACGAATGTCCAACATGAAGATCTGTGCAAGTTATTAAAACTTGTTATCAAAACTGCACCTTCTTTCTCATTTAATAAATCAAACAATTCTGACATTATACAGGAAAGTATGTATTTTTTATTTCCTATGCTTTAGACAGATTTTTCCTACTTTTTGCAGATATTTCTGCTATGCCTCGTGGTACTCCATTATATGGCCAACCATCCTGGTGGGGGGATGATGAGGTGGAAGAACAAAGAGCTTTCAAGTCAAATGACAAACCTGAAGAAAAGAGTGTTGAAACTGGAACATCAGGTAAAGTCTCTGTTGCACCTGTGACATTAAGTGGATATATGGGAAAGAATTAATTGTCTGTCCTAAAAAAGATAACTACTATTTAATCAGATGAAAAATAATCCAGGAATGTTTTATGGTGAGGCTTCTCACCTAAAATTATCAATTCCCAAAGCTTTATAAGTTCGTTTATTTAAAATTAAACTTGCAACTCACTGCTCAGTAGTCACTGTCTAACAGTGCTCAGGGAACCATGTGATGCCAGGGATCAAATCTGGGCCTCCCGTATAAAAAGTATGTGTTCTAAACCTTTTAGCTATCTCCCTAGCCCCACATGTCACTTTGATATAAAACATTTTTCTACATTATGAAATTGTTGAAACTCAAAGAATATATTAAATATATAGTTGGGTGTTAAATACTTTAAAATAATTATCAAGAAGTATTAATTAACCTAGGTACAAATTAAGTTTGTTTTTTTAATTATCTTAACCAGCATACAATAATATTTTAAATGAATCTATTATATTCAGAAATGTGATATGGAACTAAAACTTTTTTAAATCCTCAGTGCCCAGTTTTACTGATACATGGTGAGCAATAACATCAGCTGAATTCAACAATTAGATTGAATTTAGTTCTGAAACCCATTCTCAAAAGTCAGACAGCATATGTTTTTGCTGATACTGTGTAGTTATAAATATTCATGTGTCTGAATAATATAGATTTTCAAAAATAAGTGGAAGTATTAGTTATCTTGCACATAAGAAGTTGACAAAGGCATCAAGTATGAAGGATGAATGGCACAACCAGTTTTCATATGAATGATATGGAACCAGAGCTGGGGTGTTAAATACAATAGTTAAATACATCAAGCAGTATGGAAAACTAAGTCTAAATCTCAAGGATACATTCTATCAGATACCTCATTTTAACTCTAGTTCTCCAAGATAAATGAAACATTTTTCTTAGGGTAAAATAAGAACAGTTGCTTTTTAAATATGCTCTGATTTTACCAGGATACATGTCAAAGAAAACTGGCTTTATTAGTTTAATCTTTTAGTGCCGTATCCTTAACTGAGGTTTGTAAACTTTGCAAATAAATTTACATCACAGCCATCAAGGCAGTTTTCCTCATGCCTGAACTCTAAAACAGTATTATCTGCAATGGCAGATAATAGTAATACTACCTGAGACTAAACAGAAAGAAAAATTAAGTAGGACCTCTTTAGATTTGGTGACACATGGCCTCATCATTGTCATCAGAAGAGCTGATTTATCTTCATTTGTCAGCAATCATAGCAGAGGACTATAGGAATTCATCACCATATTCATTCTTTAGCTGCCTTCCTGGAACATTCAGGAATGCATGTTAACCTGTATCACATCCAGCAGAAAATCGCAAAGGTTGCTTCCTTGTTTTTTTTTTTTTGTTTTGTTTTGGATTGAATCCTGGTATGTTCAGGTATTAACTTCCTGCCTCTGTGTTCTGATACCACTCCTGCTGGACTTGTGGAATCAATATATATGCCAAGGATCAAATCGGGGTAGCCTGCGGCTGGTACTGTTTCTTAGCCCACCATGGTTGCTTCTAGAAGACCATTCATTCAGTAGTTGGAAGACAACTTTTCCACAACTTCTCATCCCTCAATTCATTAGTCTTTTAGTTGCAAGAGTAGGTCACTTACTCATTCCTGAATCAATCACATGCAAGGATCTGAGCTCATTTTTAAACCAGTCTGTCCACCATGAAACAGTGTGACTTTAGTTTCCCCCAAAGGTACTTGAGCTCTTCAGGGAGAAGCGGCTATCAGAAATGGATTATTTTAGGAGGGAGGAATAGAAAAAGGCCATTAGGAGACAGTAAAACATATCTACTTTCAAAGTCTTTGTATCTTCCTTTCCTTTACTCCATTTTTTAAAAATATTATTTGATTTTGTTGCCTTTCTCATTCGATCATATTAAAATTCCTACTTTCAGTTTCCACTCGCCTGTTGTTTATTTGCTTTGTAATTCTGACTTGTTCTTTTTTTTTCTTTTTGCAAGAAATTACAGTGTCTTCCTTTTTCCAGTTAAATAGATTAAAACTTGCCTTAAATGCTAAAAACAACATTGACAAATTCTGAAAATCAATGTGAATTTATCTACCATTAAAAGTCTAGCACATGTATACAAAACTACTCTGAAATCTGAAATATATAATCTGAAATCTGGGGAGATAGGATTGTTGGAAAGAGAGGAAAGATGAGAGTGAAGAAATAAGGTCAGAGGAGATGAGGGAAGCAGAGAAAGAGGGAAAGAAAAGGTGGACAGAGTAGAGAATGTGTATAAGAATAGCACTGTAGCACTGTCCTCCCGTTGTTCATCGATTTGCTCAAGCGGGCCCAGTAAAGTCTCCATTGTGAGACATGTTGTTACTGTTTTTGGCATATCGAATACGTCATGGGTAGCTTGCCAAGCTTTGCTGTGCGGGTGAGATACTCTCGGTAGCTTGCTGAGCTCTCTGAGAGGGGCAGAGGAATCAAACATGGCTCTGCCTGGCCAGCTGTGCACAAGCCAAATGCCCTACCACTGTGCTAAGTAGGGCGTTTGCCTTGCACATGGCCGACCCGAATTCTCTAAGTATAAGAATAAGAATTACAAAATACAGTCAAGTGTTTATATATATATGTATATTTATATATGTGTGTGTGTTAATATATATATATAATACACAATCTTGAGAAAACTAACTCTTTCTGTAAGAGAAGTTATTTTGCTTTCTAATATGTAGAATGTAAAATCTTAGTGCTATTTATGGAAGGGAGACATTCAATAGAATATATCTGTTTCTTTTTGTATCTTTTTTTGTGTGTTCACATAGATTGAAAAATTTCCTATAAACTTATTGATGGAGAAATAGAACAGCAGATGGGGTACTTGCCTTGTACTCTGCCAAACAGAGTTCACTTCCTAGCATCCTGTATATATCCCCAAACTCCACCAGGACTAAAATTCTGAGCATCACCTGGTGTGGCCCAAAAACCAAACAAATAAAACACAAAATCTCCTATAAATTAAGTGTACAGCCTTAAAAAGAAATCCAAGACAAAAGATATCTACTGAAATTAAATTCGTTCTTTGAAAATTAGAGTCCTCTAAGGAAGGATAATCTGTCCTCATTTTGCTAAAGATAAGCTCTTTTATCTGATAACTTTAATGAAACATTTGTTTAGTCTACAGTTTGCAATATTTAGTTAGTACAGCTGTTTAAAGAAGGTATTTTGTCGTTTTACATTAATTGTGATCTAACCAAAATTTAGAAACTTTAAATTTGTAATTCATATTTAACTAAACTTGTCGAGTGTTTCTAATTTTAAATAGTTCGATGGTTGTCTTAAAATAGCCTTTATTATTTTGAATTAGTTTAATATTTCATTTTGTACAGAAGTATGACAGTGATATTGTTCTAGTGTATGTATATTAAAAGTACACATAATATAATCATAAAACAGTCATGCTCAGTTTGACAGCAAATACACTAAAATTGGAGCCATACAGAGAAGATTAGTATGACCCCTGTGCAAAGGATGACATGCAAATTCATGAAGCTTTCCATATTTGGGTTTTTTCTTTCCGTTTTTTGAGTCACACCCAGCGATGCACAGGGGTTACTCCTGGCTTCGCACTCAGGAATTACTCCTGGCGGTGTTTGGGGGACCATATGGGATGCTGGGAATCGAACCCAAGTCGGCCGTGTGCAAGACAAATGCCCTACCCACTTTACTATCGCTCTAGCCCCAGCTTTCAATATTTTTATCAGAAAGAGCAAAGAAAGAAATTGCTTACAAAGGAGCATCCTTAAGAGTGACAGCAGACCTATCTAATGAACCCTAAGAAAGTAGTGGGATATACTGAATAAATTCAATGAAATAAATGCCTCACCTAGAATATTTTTCCCAATTAGACTCTCTTTCATATCAGAAGGAACAACACACAGTTTCACAGACAAATAGTTCAGGAACTTCTTAGGCTCACAACCATGGCTCCAAGAGCTACTAAACAGACTACTTTAAGATGAGACAAGCCCCTCAAGTACATCAAACTTTGGTAAAGAGATGGGACCAAACCCCATAACAATAACGTCAGTGGGCTAAATGCACCAATTAAAAGCCATAGAGTGACAGGATGGATCCGAAAATTAAACCCAGTATTTTGCTGTCTGCAAGAAACACACCTGAATAGTCAGAGCAAACACAGACTCCAAGTAAAAGGATGGAAAACAATTATATGAGCAAAGAACTCCCTCATAAAAGCTGGAGTGGCTATACTTATATTAGACCACTTAGATTTCAGACTGAAGATGTTTACAAGAGACAGTGAAGATCATTTCTTAATGATCAAAGGATCTGTACATCAGAAAGAACTCACACTCCTAAATGTATATGCACCTAATGAGGAACCAGCAAAATACTTAAAACGACTGCTCATAGACTTAAAGACATTGATAGCAACACAATAACAGTTGGAGATTTTAACACCACTATCACCTCTTCATAAATAAATCAGACTCAATCTCAGCAAGGACATACTTTATCTGAGGGAAGAAATGGAATATAGGGGTTTAGTACACATATATAGGACATTTCATCACCAAAAAGGTGAATACACAATCTTGTCAAGTGCATGTGGGGCATTTTCCAATATAGATCACACGCTGGGCTACAAAACATACCTCCATAAAATTCAGAGGATAGAAATTGTATCAATGATCTTTTCAGACCATGATGCACTGAAAATAGAACTGAATTACACTCAGAAACAGAAATTCAAACCAAGCACCTGGAAACTTAAACAGTTCACTACTGAACAACGAATACTTAGAATAGAAATCAAAGAGGAAATTAAAAAATTCTTGGAAATGAATGAGAATGAAGAGACCAGTTACCAGAACCTATGAGACACAGCAAAAGCAGTATTAAGAGGAAAGTTTATAGCTCTACAAGCATTCCTCAAAGAGGAATAGCAAGCCCACATAACTAACTTAACTTCACAGCTTAAGATCTTGGAGAACGACCAACAAAAGGAGACCAAACCAAACAAGAAGAAAGAAATAATGAAACTTAGAGCAGAAATTAATGACATGGAAACCCAAAAAACTTTGGGTTCTCTGAGAAAATAAACAAGATTGATAAACCACTACAAGACTCACAAGGAAAAAGAAAGACCCATATACAAAAATGAGCCTATCCCCAAAATGAACAAGGAGACCACAACAGAACCCACAGAAATTCAAAGAATAATCAGAGATTACTTTGAAAAGCTTTATGCCATAGAACTAGACAACCTCAAATAAATAGATAAATTCCTGAGCTCCTATAATATCCCCAAGCTGACCCAAAGTAGATTTGGAATACCTGAACAGACCTATCACTGTCAAAGAAATTGAAACAGTAATCAAAAGTCTCGTGCAAAACAAAAGCCCTGGCATAGATTGATTCACTATGAATTCTTCCAAACCTTTAGAGAAGACCGATCCCAATTGTGTTCAAGCTTTGCCAAGAAATTGAAGAAACAAACACTTCCAAACAGTTTCTATGATGCAAATATCACCCTCATACCAAAAACAGACACCATAAAAAAAAGAATTATAGGCTATTATCTCTGATAAATACAGACGCAAGATCCTCAGCAAAATCTAGCAAATATAATCTAACGACTCATCAAAAAATTATACACCATGACCAAGTAGGATTTATCCCTGGGACACAATGGTGGTTTAACATTCACAAGTCAATCAATATAATACACCATATCAATAAAAGGAAAGATAAAAACATCTGATCATATCAATAGATGTAGAGAAGGCATTTGACAAGATCAACACCCATTTATGATAAAAACTCTCAGCAAAATGAGAAGCTGGAGGAACTTTCCTCAATATAGTTAAAGCCATCTACAACAAGCCCACAGCAAGCATTATTCCCAATGGAGGAAAGCTAAAAGCCTTCACTCTAAGATAAGGAACAAGACAAGGTTGCCCACTCTCATCACTTCTATTCAATATAGTACTGGAAGTACTTGCCAGAGCACTTAGGTGAGAAAAGATTATCAAGGGCATCCAGATAGGAAAGAAAGAAGTTAAGCTATCAGTGTTCACAGATTATATGATACTATACTTAGAAAACCCTAAACGCTCTATAAAAAAGCTCCTAGAAACAATAGGTTTGTATAGTAGAGTAGGCAGGTTACAAAATCAATTCCCAAAAGTCCATGGCTTTCCTATACACAAATAATGAAAAAGAAAGACATATTAAAAAAACAATTAATTCACAATGGTGCCTCAGATCAGCTTAATCAAAGAGGTGAAGGACCTATACAGAAATACAGAAAGGGCGCACAGAATGGGGAAAAAAATATTTCCCATACCCACCAGATAGGGGCTTAATATTCAGAATATACAAGACACTGTCAGCGGGTAAGGCGTTTGCCTTGCACGTGGCTGATATGGCCGACCCGGGTTCGATTCTTCTGGCATTCTCGGAGAGCCCAGCAAGCTACCGAGAGCATCTCGCCTGCATGGCAAAGCCTGGCAAGCTACCCCTGACGTATTCGATGTGCCAAAGACAGTAACAACAAGTCTCACGATTTGTTGTGAGATGTTACTGGTGCCGCTCGAGCAAATCGATGAACATGGGAGGACAGTGCTCAAGACACTAGTAGATATTTACAAGAAACAAACCTCCAATTCCATCAAAAAAATGGGGAGAAGAAATGAACAAAAACTTACTCAAAAAAAATTTAAATGGCCAAAAGGCACATAAAAAAATGCTGTACATTGCTTGTCATCAGGAAGATGCAAATCAGAACAATGAGGTATCATCTTATACCACAGAAACTGAAATGCATCAAAAAGAACAAGAACAACCAGTGCTGGCGTGGATGTGGGGAGAAAGGAACTCTGCTTCATTGTTGGTGGGAATGCCTAATGGTCTAGCCTTTTTTGGAAAACAATATGGACACTTCTAAAAAATAAACTAGAAATTGAGCTCCCCTGTGACCCAGGAATACCACTCCTGGGAATATATCCTGGAGATGCAAACGGGAAAAAAAAAACAGTGGAAATGACATCTGCATGTGTATGTTTATTGCAGTACTCCTCACAGTAGCCAGAATCTGGAAAAAACCTGAGTGCCTGAGAACAGATGACTCATTAAAGAAACTTGGTACATCTACACAATAGAATACTATTTATCTGTTAGAAGAGATGAAATCATGAAATTTGCATGTAAGTGGATGGACATAGAGAGTATCATGCTAAGTGAAATGAGCCATAGAGTGACAGATATAGAATGACTACACTCATTTGTATAATATAAAGTAGCATACTATGAGACTAAATCATAAGGACAGAGGAGATAAGGGCCAGGAGGATTGCCCCATGGTTTGGAAGTCTGCCTCTCGTGCTGGGGAAAAGGCAGTTGAGATGGAGAAGGGACCACTAAGTAAATGATGGTTTTAGGGATCGCTCAGGATGGGAGATGTGTGCGGAAGTAGACTAAGGACCAAACATGATGGCCTCTTAGAATCTGTATTAGAAATCAATACAGATTTCTAATGCCCCAAATTATAGAGAGTGTAAGAAGGAATGTACATGCCACAGAGATGGGGTGGATGGTGTGGGGGTGACAGGAGGGACAGACACCAGGAACATTGGTTGTAGAAAATGGGCACTGGTGATCATTGTATGACTGAAGCACAATCATGAAAGTCTCTAACTATCTCACAGAGATCCAATTAAAAAAATTTTTTAATAAAAAAAAACAGTACAGTTATAAGACATCTTAAAAACTTAAACATCACGATCACGATCCTCCCGTTGATCATCGATTTGCTCGAGCGGGCCCAGTAACGTCTCCATTGGAGACTTTGTTGTTACTGAGTCTGGCATATCGAATACTCTCGGTAGCTTGCCGGGCTCTCCGAGAGGGGCGGAGGAATCGAACTCGGGTCGGCCGTGTGGGCTGCGTGCAAGGCGAACGCCCTACCGCTGTGCTATCGAAACTTAAACATGTTTTCACCAATTATTCTTTCAGTTTAGAGAGGCTATTTATTCAAGCATAATCACTTACTAAGTAGTTGTTAATGTTGAAGAATTGAGATTTATAGCAAAATACTATTATAAAGTATTAGTATAATACTTTAAATTAGTAAAGACAAAATAATTTATGAAGGAAAGACATTTTAATTTTTTTCATTCCAGAATACATTCTGTCAGTGTTTTGAGAGAAGCTGTTTCATCTTTTGATTAATTTAGAAGATCCCAGTAAATAATTTTCTAATAGTTCTACATTTCCTAATTAATGTAAGCCCATACTTAATCTGTTTCATTATTTTCATAGAAATACATTCCTTCAGATAATGAGTTTTCCATATGAGTGAACTTTACTTTCATAAATGACAATTGTTTTCTAAAAGTTTACCCAGTCCCTAAGTTTCTATTAAACAAATAATACATTCCACTGCTTGTTTCAGAAAACATTGCTTTCTTAAGCTGAAAATTGAATATAATTAAGTTTTTACTGTATAACAAAATCATCATTGTAAATATCAGTTGTTATACTA